ATATATATATATATATATATATATATATATATATATATATAAAAGTACTAGTCCTACGTAAAAAAAGAAATCAATTTGACCCAAAACATGTTTTAGCAAAAAAAAAATCTAAGAATATTGAGATTATGTAGTCAATCTTCTCTTAAAATCATTCTGAGCATAATATTGGTTTCTCTAAAATCATTATATAGGTATAGTAGAAAAAAAATTGTAATAATAGGGACAGAATAGTTCACCTTCGTATGTGTGATATTAATACATTGTATGATTTTGATGTATTTTGGTAATTCATAAAATAGTTTTCGTTTAGTTTAAATTAATAATTATTGGGTATAAAAAGAAATACAATATTTTGTATATTTTATATATGTATATTTATTCAAAATTAGCTTACTCTATCTATTTATACATGCGATATTGAATATGTTCATATCAAGAACCCTCCAACAGTAGGGTGGTTAAGGACTTGTTCTTGCGGGCACCAACTTGTTAGCATCCCTCTTTCTTTAGTTTCTTGAAGTCCCCACGCGCGTTCAATAAGTTGGTTTGCGGTCATGACAGTGATGCTTCCAAAATTTACATAATCAACAGAATTTGGTTTCTTAGAGTCAAGCCATTCTATAGTAGATGGCAAGCCCTTGAGTGAATCAGGGCCGCGAGACTTAAGTAGACGCCTCTGATTGTATTCAGTGTTGACAAAAGTGATGTGAAATCCTTTGTAATTGAGAATTTTGGCTAATTTTAACATCGGGTTAATGTAGCCTTGGGCAGGGTATGGTATGCAAACTGCATGAGGCTTGTCAAGTTCATGCGTGCTTCTAATGGATCCATTTCTAAAGGGGATAACATATTGATCTGGTTAAGAATGTGAGTGAGATGAACTTGTAAGTTTAATGATTAACAGAATGAAGCATGAAAAGCAGAAAAATGTTATACAGTAAATGGTACCTTACCTATGGGAGTAGATATGTAATAGTCTCTTAACTCTCTGCCCAATTTTATTCAAATAGTTTAGTTTTATATTAATGAAACCAATGCATTCATGGAAATAAATAGTTAACCCATTTTTCAGTTATTTTTCTCTTCCCGCTACTTTTTCATCTTACGAAAAGAATTACAATATCAACTAGTCAAAATAAAGTTCATCAGAAAAGATGATATAAGTCCTAATTTTACTCAATGAAGGTTGAAAGAAATGTTTTGATCGGTGCCGAATTATTTTTCATACAAAAGAAAAATAAGAGATTTGATCCTATTACTCAAATTCATCTACATAAAATAAAACGAACACAACAATAAAGTGGATCTATTTCAAAATAACAAAAATCTTTTAAGATTAAGAAGAAGTTGCAAATAAGTATTATATAAATTTCAACCTCTACAAGTTAAACACACATACACGTTAATTTACCGTCTTCACCCCCCCCCCCCCCCCAAATGTCACACATAAACGTCAGGTTAAAGTTTAAGATTGACTAGTTATTTTCTTGTAGGAAAATGTTTATGACTATAAAATAGATGTTTATTTCTTTCTTATTTAATTAATATTCACAATGTAGTCCTATGAATTTTGAAAGCTCTAGTTATGGAGAGAACTTGTGGAACATAGGTGATACGTTATCACTTGTGTGTACCTCATTTTATTCCAAGTGAATTGGTTGAGGTTATTTCTCTCTATATTTTGTACTCTCATATTTATATAGTGAATTGTCTATTTCCTTTGTGGACGTAGGTCGATAGACTGCCACGTTAAATCTTTGTGTCTTTTAATATATTTCTCGTATATCTTCTTGCTTGTGATCTTTCGAGGTTCACTTTGTTGGCTAATTATTGTCGAACCTAACATTTATTTCAATGTACCACACTTACATCTTATGAATCATCACTAGAAACAGGAGCGGATCAACACTATATGGTGGGGTGCACGTGCACCCGCAATTTCCGATTAAATCATATGTATATATTCTATTTTAAAAAATTGGTAGAAACTAAGAGATAGTTAACAATACACCTATAAAAAAAAAATAGAAGTGTCCTTGTGCAATTGGTAGAAGCTAGAGATACCACCTCTAGACCAAGGTTTGAACCCCACTTAAGCTTGGTTTTATGAGTTGTCTCATCACTAGAAATCACAAAAACACTTCTGTTTCCCTGTATGAGACTTGTATTACATGAAATACCCACAACATATAGTTTATACACTTCAGTTAAATTATTGCCAAATTAGGTCCGAGAAGAGAAGGAAATCAATGGCAAACAGATCTCGTCGTGTATGTATCGATCTGTCTTAATAAAGCTGTATTGTATGATTCATTATGAACCTCCCGCGCTGCTTGCAGTGTTCCGTAGGGATGAGGTTTAGATGAATCTTGCTCTTACATGTCAAGGAAATTTTCCCTTTAAATATTGGCACAGATTATTCCAATGGACGCTTTCTCCTACTCCTCTTGATGTATGTATTTTTTTGGACTAAATATCTCTAATATTTGAGTAATTCAAATGCAGGACAAGCTGGAAAATTTGCAAGGGACCAAAAGATTTTGATGTAGTAGCATATAACAACAGTTGTTTTGCTTTTATCATTATTACAACACCAAGTTACAACATAACAAAAAACAAAAGGGAAACAAGAATTACAGGATGATGCCAACACAGGAAATAATGAAAACCAACCACCTAATGTTTGAGAAGAATTTCATTGATCAATTTGTCTATGTTCACATAAGATGATCCTGCTGGTTTTGCAGCTGCTTCTTCAGCCAATTTCTTCCACTCCATTGCCTTTTTCTTCATATCTTTACCTTTCTCGCCGACCATTAGCTCTCTCACAAGACTTTCAACTTCATCCCTTTTCACATTATTGTCAATTTCCATCCCGATTCCCCATTGGGTGCATTTGAACCAACAATTAGTCTGTTGTTCTGCGAAGAACGGCCAGCAGATCATTGGCACACCATTGCCAATACTTTCAAGGGTTGAATTCCATCCACTGTGAGTCAAGAACCCTCCAATAGCGGGGTGGCTTAGGACTTGTTCTTGCGGGCACCAACTTGTCAACATCCCTCTTTCTTTAGTTTCTTCCACAAATTCA